TTCCAACGAATCTTCGGAAAGAGGTAAGAAAGGTAACTTTTGTTCGCGATCTCTCAATTCTTTTCTTAAAGCGGAAACACAAAAGTGATCGGAAAGTGAAACGAACTTGCTCGAGCAACGCGTAAATCTCGGATCCGAGAAACTTTCTGCACGCGTTTAAGACCAGACTGCGAAATTACGGCTCTGCAATTAGCTTCTTCGAGACGTTCGAGGGGAGGGGGGGGAGGGTAACTGCGACAAACTCAACCGAAGGGGTAAACCCGCCCCAGCGATTCTTCCTACGACTCGTCCACGTAGCTTTTAAGTTTATTAAAAAGCCACGGTGCCGATCCAACGACCAGATCCCGGCACGGAGTATAAATATACCGAGGATCGGGCAAATAGAATCCACGATTTTACGTCCCGGCCGCGTTTACATTGCGAGCTTTACGGGTCTCGCCGCGGTAATCTCCCAAGTTTTACCTCGAAATGCGATGCAATACCGTGGCAGAGGGCATAAATCATTCGACCCCCCTCCCCGATGTACTCGTTAAAAACGCGTTAGATTTCGAGGTATCGAGAACTTGGTTGGGTTTCTTATCTAGGGGAGGATTGCCTCGAGATACCGAGAGAGCAATATCTACTCTCGTTTCTTCTATTTGGATTATTCGGCCAACGCAATTCAGATATCGTTCGTTTCTAGATCGAAGAGGATCGAAAGAGTCTGATTGGTCGATTCTGATAGAGCTAAATAGAATTATATAGATAGGCAGATGTATCGAATGTACGTGTACGTCAGATTTACTTAAATCAATCTCTGTAAATTATAATTAAAAAAAAAAAGGTAAGATAAGATAAATGTCCAAGGATAACTCTATTTTCTAATCTCTTCGATGGAAATATTTTTATCCCGATATTTTTTTCATTTCACGAATGAAAAGATTCGTGGCATCGACGTGGTCCTCCGCCCACGATCAGCCGCTGTTTGTATTTATTTGTAATTTCAATGATACATCGGCGTGAAATATGGCGAAAATCAATCAACACGCAACGATCCGTATAATTTCCATATTCATCCGAAGTTTGAACAAACAAATGGTGGTAGATTTTAAAAAGATCACCGTATCCTCCAGAGAGGAGAAGACTGGGACACGTCGACTAATCCGTGGAAATTCGCCGATACTGGAAAAGTTACGGCTCGACGAACGGGACCATAGGGGTATATCGATCAACCAAGATGGATTTGCAATTCAATTTCGTGGGTCATCCGGAGACTCCGCGTGGTTGGTCGAGTGTTTGCGGTGAACGGAACGGTGTCAATAAGGAACGAGTTGTTTGAGTTACAATTTTAGATGGTACAGTCTGTTTCAAATCGAATCGACGATCTAGATCTTCTTCCACGGATTATACACCATGCCTTTTTCTTTTCCACTCGTGTACCGTAAGAATTATAAAATAATGATGAATTAACTCGTAACAAATTGCGCTCAAAAGCGAGATATATTTTAAATTTTAAAATAAGGCACACAGTGTATCAGTTATCTATCTTTTTGCCATTATTTCGAGCAAAATCCTTGATAATTTTCATTCCTCAAAAGTAAATCTACGTTGTTTCTATATTATTCATTCCTATATAGTTTTATAATTTTAAATAATATCTTCTGAAAGAATTTTTGAGTACTTTCAAAAAACCATTTCTAAATTCCTATTTCCAGTTTGATCATTGATAACTTAGAAGTATCCTAAATATAATTTTTATGATTATTACATTTACATGCAGAATAAAAATGATATACGATAAAAAAAGAATTAACAAAGTAACGAAACCAATTTAAATCGTATAGTCTCGATTCAAATTGACAATAGCCAGTTTTATTTTTGCTGTTGGAACCGATCGATCCGGAATAACACAAGTAAGGAATCCTGTTTACAGAAATCGTGATGTTCGGCGCGACGCGACAGGATAAATTCTGACAGAGCCATTCGGTCACCGAGAGAGCTGATTATCGACAGTCACGGAATAACTTGGGCAAGCAAATATAATTCACGCTGGTGTTTGCATACTCGGTAATTTATTATCGGATACCCGAACACGTCGGCCATTCGTGAACAGGAATATGCATGTGATTATTTATGATATCCGTGATGCGATTCGAAACACGCGGCAAGGCTTCGCCAATTTTGACGGTGACTCGAACGATATTTGTCCCGAACTGCGAGAGATGTACAATTAAAACTTGACCAATATACATTTTTTGAGGTTTACACTTCTGATGTATACTTGGAAACTTAGAGTGTTCCAGAAAGATCGTTTTCGTTTCTGAACATCTTAAAATCTGTATATTTTACACTACAGATAATATGTAATTCGATAAGCTTAGTTTAAGATAAAAGATTACAAGTTTTTGTTTCTTATACATCTGCTGTTTCATTGTTCAATTGTTGATTCATCGGCCTCGCATTCTTTTTCTCTTATATATTTCTTGTATTGCACTTTTATATTGTTGAAATTCTTTTTCTCAAGGGATGTTCGATTCAAGGGACGAAGTTAATATCCATCGATACCCTACTCGAGCTATAAAAATTCAATGAACAGGAAGTGTCAATGACGAGGCCGAATCGTGGCGATTCGTCTCTCTCTCTTTCTCTCTCTCCGGTCGAGGAACGCGTTCAACCAAGGGAACGAGAAGAATGCAAACGCGGTAGGGATAGAAAGGCGCCGACTCTAATTGATATAACCAGATAAGAGGCACGAAGAGAGATAGGAACGCGGCTTGAATTCGAAGGGCTGGAGTACTTGTGAAAGAGAGACAGGGATCGTCGTGGGCGAAAAGAGAGAGGAGAAAGAAGCATCCTCGCGGAATTCTCTCTTTGTCCGTGCCGAAATTCCATCGGTCGCCGCAAAGAAAAGACGACCGGCTTGGAACGAGCCTAGACTGTCAACCGGCATTTTTTCTCCTTTTCTTTCACGTCTGACGGATTCATTATGTAATTCGCGTAATGGCGGACTTCTCGACCCACCCCCTCCTCTACTTTTCTCAAGACGTCTTGGAATTCAATTGTTTCAAAGTCGTGGAAACTCCCGACGATGGGGACCAAAGCGAAGAGGGCGAGAAAAGAAGACTTTTTTCCCTTTCCTCCGTTACCACTTTCTTCCTCCTTCCATTCCCTTTTCCTATACGTGTATGCTTACTTGTGTTCGTTCCTTAATTTTATGTGTATTCGTGCGTCGTCCACGAGGGTTCAAACTGGCGCAAAAGACGGCGGTTCGTGGAAAAGCAGGCTATACAAGATCCAACGACCAGAGAAAATAATACCCAGCCCTCTCCCACGGCGACCTTTCAAAGCGGCTACTCAACTTCGCAATTTCGTTTATTGCGTAGTTTGCAAGAGGTTGCGTATCGCCGCGGTTAAATCCGGAGAGGACTCTATTTTTTGTTTTCCTTTCCATCCTCTTTCCAAGTTTGACCTTCCTTCGCTTTCTACGTAAGGGTAGGTTTATTAAATCCTACTCTCCTACCATCTAGTCGCGTTTATTCAATGACGCTGTTGAAACAAAAAAAAAAAAATATTACATTCCTTCGCTCCTGCTATTCCAGCCTTTTCTAATTTGTTCCATCTTCCTTTACCCCACCATGTGTTCAAGATTCAAAGTTCAAAACGTAGAAACAATCATTCGGTATCTTTAACTACTTCTCGAGACGGAAAACTTTATACTTCTCAATGAAGAAGTTCCGCAACCAGTTCCAGAAGAGTCTATCGACTTCCAGACGACTTGAAGATCGTCGGCTTCACCGATCGTAGCAAGATAAGGAAGAAAGAGAAATACTGAATTGTTCCCTCGGCGAATTTCTTCGAGAATTAATATTTGCAACATGGATTTCCATGACGATATTCTGGATGGAACGGTATAAATAACGGGTGATTCAAGAGACAAATGATGTGGATTTTAGCCTCAACATGCCCGCGGAAACGCAGTTCCGTGTGGGACAGTTGAAAAAAAAAGAGAATTTCCAGATTAAACCTATCATTTTACAACTTGTCGAGTGGAAATACGAGCGATATGGATATTGAATATATCCCGGGAAATAAACAAGGGGGAATCTATCCTTGATTTCGAAATTTTTCAAACTCGCCTCGAGTTACTTTTCGGATTGTTTTATTAAAGGTATGATTATTTAATGTGTTATCTGTAAAGTAGCACTTTCGGAACATACTATTTATATCCGTGAGAGTTATTTATATTGTTCAATTACATAAATTATTTTTCTTATTCTCGAGTGTATTTGATTTTAATATAGGTTTTTTTTATAAATATTTCGTAAATGTAGTATTTCGAATTTAATGGAAAGTAGAAGAATATTTGTTAACAATTACTCTATATATTTCAAGTCGAATCGAATTTTTGTATTAAATATATATTAATATTTATTAAATTATTACTTATCGAAATTTCCGGATCAAAATGGTGGACAGCGAATAGAACAAGGTAGATGTAAATATAATATCCAATAGTATTCTTGTAACGTTGTAAAGAAAAGCGGTGGTCGAAGAATAGTGGAATAAACGAAAGGCCTGAAGGATAAAATTAAAAAGATCAAGTTACAAATATCCGGGAAAGACATTGGAATACTAAGGAATAGGAAAAGAAAAAGATAGAAAGAAAGAAATCAACCAACCTTTATTTACGCTTCTTTGTTTTATTTTTGATACACATCTCGTTATCTTCATCTCCTTAAGAGGATCGAACATGAGGATTGACAGCTTGTTATCCTTCAACACTTAAATATCGTACAATTTTCGACGAAACAAACAGGACAAATTGTTTCTGCGGCTTCGTTAAATTTACTTGAAAAAGATTGTTTCGAACGATGATCGTACGACAAGCACGCCAAAGTGCATTCATATGCCCTCTGTGAATTATTCGTTGAACTAAAATATGTCTGAAATTCAAATTGGGAATAAGGATAGATATGTAACATCCATATACACATATATGAAAATCTATCAAACAAGTCGAAGATATGATTCGTATAAGCTATTTATTTTTGGCTTATAAATCATATATAAATAAGAGTTTCGATTTCACTATGTACACACTAGAATAAAAAAAAGTCTTCGATATTTCAAATATAATGAATTAAATAACATCACCCCCGCCTAGGTTTTATCTCGCAAATGAAATAACGACCAGCGTCAATGACCAAATACGAAGGACCTTTTTAAAGGGCTAGGGGAATTAATAGTTTAATATCGACCCAACTTCATCGATGTCGAGAAGAATTCATTGGTCGAAACTTTATATGTTATTTTCAAACTGGCACACAAACAATATATACACTTATCCCTTCAAGATTCTGTAGATGGTAACATTTTTTCCAATTCCCGTAAAAGTTGTGCAATATGTTGTATTAACTTGAAACCAGTCATCGTAACTGGCCGTAATGTTTTACTATAACATTGTTTATATAAATTGGTAAGAGTTTCTGATCTGAAATATATATATATATATGTTATAATAAAATATATTTAAAAATAACATGAAGAATGTATTAAAATTAAAAAAAAAAAAAGAACATACTCTTTTTTGCTATTGTTACTATTCTTGGTAACAAATAATTTTGTTAAAGATCGCAATATAAATTGTAACCGTTGTTCCAGTAGTATCACTAAACTTTCTTCGTCTTCTATTAATTTTTGTTCATCAACTTTTCCTTCTTCGAAACTTTCTTTCCCGATTTTAGTGCTAACAGCATTTACATTTTCAACCTTCTGCTTTTGAGAATTGTTCCTATCGCATAATATATCAATAATAGGTTTACATTGCAAAATTAATTGAAGTCCAGTTTGATATGCTTTCAACTTGCCATTAAAAGTTGTGGTGCCTGCAATATAATGCTAATTCAAAAAATTAATCAAATATCAATAAAATCAAATCGAAAAAAAAATACATACAACGAGCTTGATGTTCGGCTAAAGCTACTCTTTCCATTTGAACTGTTAAAAACTCTGTAGTTTGTTCCAAAGCTAACAAAAGTTTTGCAGCTTTGTCGTAATATAGCTTACACAATTGCAAGCTTGTTTTTCTTTTAATATTATCCGTATCTGGTTCATATTCTCTATATACACGATGATATAAAGATGCGAGTCGATGTTGAATAGTTGCAGCCCGAAATTGATAAACTGGTTGCCGTGGTCCGGGTGTTTCAATATCACAATGCTTTAAAGCTTTCTGTAGGATATCGACAACTTCTCGTTCTAATTCTTCTTCGGTCTAAAATTATAATAAAAGATATGATATAAAAAAAAAATAAATAAAAAAATAAAAAAATTAATAAACATACTTTGCATCCAGTTGTAGGATAATCTTGCAACAACGTAGCCATTGTAAATAAAGTAGTAGATAAATCCCATGTAATAGTATCCCAAATCATAGGATTTGATTTTCTAGAACTTAAAACTTGCAAGGCTTTCTGATAACTCGCAAGTGCTTTATTATAAAAGTGACGTTCTTGAGTGTTTTGTTTTACATGCATGTGTGCACACAATCGCATAAGTCTTCCTGTATTTGAATGTAAAAGTGCTAAGTTCGCTTCGTCGTGAACAGTTTCAAATGCTTTCACGCCCGCTTCTAAATGAGTCAATGACCGAGTAAGCAATGCTGATACTCCATGTGAAGAACTTGATGTTTCTTCTACCAAATTTTCTTGTTGATATCGTGCTGTAAACATAGCATATTTTTTACATATTTTTATAACATATATTTTTCCTAAAAAAAGAAAATGAATAAAAATTCTTACTTCCAGCTTGATTCATGTAAAGCACACCTAATTCGTTATGAATGTTTCCTAACCGTCTTAGAAGATTATTTTTATCCATATCCAATGGTTCTAAGGATAACGCTTTTTCGTAACATTTATAAGATGCTACTAAAGTAGATTCTAAACTTTCTAATCGTTGTGGTAGTAATTCAGCACCATCTACAATTCAAAGTTATTTAAAATAAGTAATGAGCTGTATGAAAATACTTTTATATATATATATATTATTTTTTTTTTTTTACCTATATACATACTCGAATCCAAATCTTCTATTCTACATATATCTTCGACAATTCTTTCTTCAATTTCACTTTTTATTTCATAATCTTTTCTATGTTTCTCGACGTTACACCAATCTTGCACAGCCATAAAACAACAATCCCCTGCGCGCCCTAACAGATAGCTTATAGATTTATCATTTCGTATATCACAAAATATCTCCAGTATTTTTTGGCACCTTAAAACGGCTAACATATATCTGAGAGACGCGCCGTAATTTCTATTGGCATATTCATTTTCAGCGAGCACGGCAAAAATTAATGAAGCCTTTTCATACAATAATGTTTTTAAATGAATATTCCAACTAACATTATCGCTTTTTTTGGGCGCTTGCCATGTAGGTAAAGTTTCAGCTTTAAGCTTACATAGCAATGCTTTTGCTTCATTCTCATGAGGTTCCATTTTTGCAATGACTTTCTCAAGTTTCTTTACTTTCTTCTGTTTTGATTTTTTTTTATGAGTAGGACTGTTATTTATCGAACTCACTTCAGATTCAATTTCTTTTTTATCTTCTTTCAACGAAATATAAGGCATTGGAATTGCCTGAAAAGGTTTAGCCATATTCAAATGATTCTCTTCATATACTCTTTTCTTCTGCTCCTTTTCTTCTTCTTCCTTACGTTCTTCTTCTGAATTATCATCAATCGGAAAATACTGTAAACATTCGAGTCCGTGACAAACGTGATCTAAAGCGGCTAAACATCTTTCTTCGATAGTACCCGAAATTGGTGGTGGCTTATACTTAGGTTCTTCGCATTCCGCGTGTTCTTTGACTAAAAAAAAATTATTTTTTAATTTACTTATTCATATATAAAAAAAAATATAAAACACTAAACTTACTATTAGCCAATGTTAAAGACTTAAATGCAGCTTCTTCAAATTCCTCTTCCAAATCTTTTTCATTCTCATGATTAATACTAGATTCACTTTGCGTATCTTCTTCATCACTCTGATCCGACAAACCTGGACTGGCAGGGTCTGTATCAGATGGTATATAAAGATCAGATAACATAAAATGTGCAGATGTTACAATCTGTGGATACTTTTCTTTAGTCAATAATTGTATGCAATTTTTCAATAACATTCTAATAGTACCCTGTTGTCTATGATAATCAGAGGAATATTTCATATTACGAGCTACTCTATACAGTAACATGGCAACAGGTACAGTGAATGGATTCTGGCCCTTTTCATCTGATAAATCATGACACAGAGAAGTTAAATCATACAATTTTACTACATCATCATCCTTCCCTTTGAATAACCAATACGTATGTCCAGCTTTAGTTGCATTATTCTTTAAGAAACTTAAGATGTTTTGTGCAACATCTCTGATAACTTTAGGACTGAATTTAGAATGATCCAAATTAGGAAGATCTTCCGTTTTGATTAGTTCATATTTTTGCACAATACCATTCAAGTGATAACACATAACCACTTCTGGTACATTACACATCAAATTGTCTAACCAATAATCTATACCGGTTAAAACATTGATGGGTTTAGTCATATCTCTCAATCTAAGACTTATACATGGATGAGTTTGCCCTCCAAATATCGGCATGTCAGTACCAATAAGCATCTGTATATTCTCAAAAGTCCAAACAATATTCCTTGCAAAATTATGATTATAATTTGGATCTGGTACTTTTTCTTCTTGAGAAGGTTCTGGCAAGCAAGGTTCTAAAGTTTTCACAGGTAATTGTGGTTTGGTATGTTGTTCTTTGTTATCTGCCACTACTATTGAGTGATATAAAAACTTAGATACCAAGTTTCTTTGCTGCAAAGTATTTCTATTGTTTGTCTTATGAAACAAACATTTTTCTTTGTCTCCTAGATTCTGAAAAATATGCTCGTAAAAAAATTTCTTTAACCATTCCCAATCACTCTCTGCTTGTCTAAGTAAATACTTATGAATGTCAAAATCATCTAACAATAAAGTATTTTCTATTCTGTGAACCACCATTGATATGACTCCATGATTGTAAGGCAACTTTAACAATTTTTTTATGTTTTCTGCATCTGACACAACATCAACTTCCCCTACACAATCAGGGAACATATGTGCCATACGAAAACTAGAAAAGCCAGAGGTTTGAGACCAAACACTTTGCAGGCCATAACTCTCTGCAGAACTGCTGAGCCAATTGCTTGGTGGTAAATTTAAGTCTGTGTTGCATTGTAATTGAGCGTAAGTCGCGGGCGTTTGAACGGCCGAATATTTTACAACGGCGGTAGACTTGACCGGTTTCTTGGATGAATCAGATGGTATAGCCAGAGGCATAGGATTGACCTAAAATTGTACGTATATATAACATTAAAAATACCATATCACGTTTACATTTAACATATTTATTACAATTTTCATTCCACAGTGAATAAAATTAAGTAATACATTCGGTATATTGTTTGCGAACAGTAGCACGATGAAGTACTCCTAATATAGAGTAAAAAACGATTCTCGATAAAATAACGGTATTAAAATAAGGTATTTAACATCACTGATCGAAAAGAATATTACTTACAGTATCATATTTGGTATCCGTACTTTCTGACATTTTTAATTTCGAATGATGTCACTCGCGTCTCTCAAAACTTGTCGTTATGTTCCAAAATTTCTAGAAGGAACCAGAGTGTATCGAAATCTCAACCACTCGCATAACGCATAACCACTGATTATGTGATATACGGAGGAAGGTTGCAACATTTACAAACAGTTTCCTACAATAACAATTTTATTCTGCATTACCACATTTGAAAAAATATCGAAATTTTTCAGCACAAATGAGAATATAATAAAGAATAGGCTTTACGATTTTTAACAAACGTTTTTCAACAAATTTTTTACTCTCATTAGTCTCGGGAATATTAGGATTCCTTTAATTTCATTCATAGTGCGAGACAAGGAAAGCAAATAGTGGAAGAAGGACAGAGATAGGGTAAAAATATTGAAATCAGCGCCATCTTCAGAGTGCCGCAAATGAAACATAAAAACAAAGGACAGAGAATAGCGGAAGAAGGACAGAGATAGGATAAGAATTGATCATCAGCACCATCTATCGAATACCAAAGTTACTTCTCTTCAATTGGAAGATAAAGTAGAGTAAGAATTAAAGATCAACGCCATCTCTTGAGTATCTTTAAAAACATAATTTCTTACAAAGGTTCTCTTAATACTCAAGAGATGGGGTTAACAATCAATTCTTATTCTATCTCTGTCCTTCTCTTGCTATTTTCTGTCCTTCCTTTTTGTGTTTCATTTGCGGCACTCTGAAGATGGCGCTGATTTCAATATTTTTATCCTATCTCTGTCTTTCTCGCAATATTTACTCTCCTTGTCTATACTAACTCGATACGTGACCACAGACGAAGTACGAGATGTCAATTGAATACACTTTCATCATTTTCTCTTTCAAAATTACAATCTATCTTGATCTCTAATGTAAAAATAACATAATAGATATTACATTCTCAGCTTTATAATGTATCTCTGAGACAATAACCTCACAAAGCATAGCACGTATCTTGATATATGATGCAAGTGTTTTGCTCGACGACAGCGGTGGGATTTAAGCCACATCGAAACTCAAACAACGAAAGAAAACAATAAGGAATTTTAAAGCAATCTATCGAAAGAAAAAAAATCGAAGATATATTTATATATTCTTTCGATATTTACCGAGTGGAATTAGTGGAATTACTAACATTAATATAATTATTTAATTTAATTATTCAACGATTTCTCATAATAGAAATATAAAAAGCGAAGGAATAAAAAAAAAAAAAAAACGTAACGAGAAATTAAAACCAAAGGAAAAAAAACAATCAAAAATAATCTTCAATAATCGTGAAACTCATCGCCTCGTCATCACAAGTCGCTTGTATCGTAACAGTTGTTTCTTATTTCAGCTCTGTGTGGGAAAGCAGATCGAAGCAGAAAGAAGCATAATAGAAATAGATTATAACGACAAAACGAAGCCCGCGAAGAGCCTGATCTTCGATTCAGTTGAAAGTGTAGCGTGTTCACGATGAAGAAACAAAGTATATTATCTTTATCCTCCCGGTTTGGAATAATAGCGCGAAAAAGGTTAGGAACGACGCGAGCAAAAAGACCCGATTTATCCGCAACGTTGAACGGATTATGAAGCCCTGAAAGAACTTGACGTCACTGGTACCGCGTTTATATATAAGATGCCCGATCGCCACCCTCAGAATACAGTCAACGACGGGAGGTGATCGACGATCAGAGGGCGAATTTCATCGAAGGCAGGCATGGTGGTGAACTTCAAGGTGTACAAGAAATGCTCGCCGAACGGGAAAATCTCTCTGTACCTGGGCAAGAGAGATTACATCGACTATCTGTCCGGTATCGAGCCGGTCGATGGGGTGATACTTCTCGACCAAGACTACGTGGACACCGGTAGGAAGGTATGGGGTCAGCTGGTTTGCAGCTTTCGTTACGGCCGTGAGGAGGACGAGGTGATGGGCCTCAACTTCCAAAAGGATCTCTACTTGATCTCGGAGCAACTGTTCCCGGTTAACAAGAAACGGGAGGAGAATCTGACCAAGCTTCAGGATCGTCTGTTGCAAAAACTAGGGCCAAACGCGATTCCGTTCACCTTCAAGTTCTCCCAATCCGCTCCGTCCAGCGTCACTCTGCAGCAAGGGGAGGAGGAGACAGGCGAGCCGTGCGGAGTGAACTACTACGTGAAGATCTATTGCGGGGAGACTGAGACCGACGTCACTCACAAGAGGAGCACCGTAATCATGGGAATAAGGAAGATCCAGTACGCGCCTACGAAGCAGGGCCGGCAGCCTTGCACCGTGGTGCGAAAGGACTTCTTGCTGAGCCCAGGCGACCTGGAACTTGAGGTCACGCTGGACAAGCAGCTGTACCATCACGGGGAGAGGATAGCCGTGAACGTGTGCGTGAGAAACAACAGCAACAAGGTGGTGAAGAAGATCAAGGCGTTGGTCCAGCAGGGCATCGACGTGGTCATCTTCCAGAACGGCCAATTCAGAACGGTGATCGACGCTGTGGAGACGCAGGACGGTTGCCCTATCAATCCTGGCTCCAACCTGACCAAGGTTCTTTACCTGAAACCGGAGCTGGAGAACAACAAGCATCGAAGGGGCATCGCGTTGGACGGTCGGCTGAAGCGAGAGGAGAGCGAATTGGCATCCAGCACTCTGCTTCTCTCCCCGGATATACGCGAATCCTTCGGCATCGTGGTCTCGTACGCCGTCAAGGTGAAGCTCTACTTGGGCGCGCTGAGCGGGGAATTGTCAGCCGAGCTGCCGTTCATCCTGATGCGGCCCAAACCCGCCGACCGGATCAAGGTGGCGAACGAGGAGCTGGAGAACGTGAAGGAGAACGTGGAAAAGCCGATCGCCAGCTAGAGAGAAGGAGCCAACCATGCTCTCTGACAACCTTCGATCTCGACGATTTTGACGATGAATTGAATAACGTCTCGAATAACGATCCTTCTATTTGTATTTGCGTTCTCGAAAGTCAAACTATTTTTCCATAAATATATATATATATATATACATATATACGATGTTGAATGTATTCGAATAATTTAAAAAAAAAAAAAAAAAGCTAATTATTGTAAATGATAAATTATTTGCTGTAATCGGGGAAATATACTGGAAAATTGACGAGAATTTTTTTTTCATAGAAGATTCGATGATGATGATGATGATGATGATGTTCGAATCGATGATTTAAAGGGATCTTGGCAACGAGGCGAGCGTTAAAGCGAATGGTCCAGAGTATACTCGAAGTGGGTTAACGATTCTAGGAATCCGATGTGCTATCGATCATAGCTGTTAGCCTAGATGAAAGTGAATCGTCCCAAGTAATCGAAACACATTTCACGCAAAATGTTGTGTATTCAACGATGATCATACGTTCGTGGATTAACCGTAATTGTGGAACCTCCACAATGGAATAAATCACGCGTATATCGCGATAAAACCACCATTTTCGTCCCTCTCTCTCTCTCCTCCCCACTCGGCCATTAAAGCGAATCGCGTTGCGTAAGACTCTGTTTTAAACCGCGCGACTGACTTTCAGATTTAACTATTTTCCAAATAAAAACACATCGTTAAACGCGCGTCTCAGGCAAGAGGTAATTATGCCATCGAGTAATGGCGTCGGATCTCCACGACAGAGTGCAACGAAATGTAGCACATCGTGATTTTTCATTACCTTCTCGGGAATAAATTTTACGTATCAAGTATTCTTTTTTCTTTAATCTTTTATATATATAAAAGATTAATCGTTCAATTAATAGAAAAAAAAAAAAATTTCTTACGATATTTTAAAATTGTCCATCACGTCAGAGGATAAATAAACGGATAATAAAGTAGTAATTTCTCGCCGATTATATATATTAATACTCGGTCGTAAAGCGTGCTTCTCGAAAGTTTCTAAATTCTATCGTCCATGGTATCATTTCGCCGATTATTCGCCGTGTATCGGTGAAACGGAAGATAAAAGCGGAGAAAGCACGGTGAATTTTAAAGTTTCGCCACGATCGACCAACTTCTGGCTTAAGTCACGTTGCAAGAAGTTTTTCGTCTCTTCCGCGTTTCCTTTCTCCCGGCGCGATATCGGCGAACAAAAGCGGAGAAGAACGCTGACGCTCTATCTTTGCCCCCTCCCCCCCCCCCACCTCGACATATCCCGATTAATCAACCTGCTTCGAAGCGCAGATAAATACGTCGTTATTCTCGCGCGATAACCATTGCATATCCTGAAACTGGTAACTTCTGTGGAAACGCGTGCAAGCGGGACTCGTGATCAACAAGTACTCGGTCGATCATGTGGCGTAAAATTAACACGGCGCAATCGGTGAGCCGATAAATACACGCGGAACAAGATCGATCGATGGTAGATTGGTAGGTGTGTAATCAGTTGCGCAATCAGTTTCCCCGGGATGGATCAGTTTCCCGGGGAAAAAGTGGCGGAGGGCAAGGTCGGCTATTCTCGATGACGCAACTCGATTTGGCCTGGAAAAGTATATAATACTACTGGTTCCCGTCTTCTGCGCCTTTGAGACGCGATCAATCCGGTCGAGGAATTATCCGCAATTTCGGTTGAGGGGAGGCGGAGAGATAAGGACGAAAGATGAGAGCGGGAGAAGCGAAGGAGAACAAAGGTGGCGTATGGAGAGAGGAGAAAAAAAGGAAGAAAAGAAAAGAAAAATTGAAAGAGGACGAGAAGAAGGTGGTGGAAGAAGGAAGGGGGCCTCCTAGTTTCGCTGGAAGGCCGCAGGTATATCTGGCTGCGACAAATCGAAAAGCACGAGTCCACGATCCTACGATTCTCGCGAAGGAGAAGAAGGTCCTGGCGAAGGGCATGGAACGCCGTCTCGCCGATGCCACCCTGTGTATAGGTGCAGTGGTGGGCGTTGGAGGAGCAGCGACGGTGGCGGCGGCGGCAGCGGCACCAGCTATCGTGAGAAGGAACGTGGACTGAAACGAAGGTGGAGGAAAAGAGACGGGGCTATGCGAGACAGAGGTTATGGAGGGAGGGTATCGCGGTGGAGGGAGGCGGGTAGGAGATAAAATTAGAAAGAGAGGTCAGAAAAATAACGAGAGACGGTGAAAAGGGGAGAGTGAAAATCGAAGAAGAACGAAACGGACAGGGAGATAGGGTGAGAGAGAGAAGAGGGAGGTAGGAGAAGAAACGCGGAGAGAAAAAGAGAGAAGGAGAGAAGGAAAGGGCCAGACACGAAGCAGCGAGAGATCGAAGGAAGAACGAGGAGACGCTTGGAGAGACGAGCAGACGAGGCGGTAGAGAGAGAGAGAGAAAGAGAGAGAGCGAGTGGGTAGGGAGGGGATACGGTCGGGCGGCAGGCTTGGTTGGTGCGTCAGTCAGGCTCGAGACACCCGCGAGAACGGAGCGGTGGTTGCCTCCCTTATTCGGTACGTACGTTCAATGCGCCCCCTCCATCACCCCCTGCCCACCTAACAAGAGTCTCGACTATCGAGGCAGTGTCGCGCAGAGTGTCGTACGAGGCGTATTGCTCCGCCTGTCCGTAACCCCTTCGTTATATCGGTGTTCCTTTTTATACATATATAATATATATCTACAACCCTCGTGTTTCGATTTGTGCCGCGTTCGAACGAACCGACCTCGGTGAACCTATTAGACCGGCCAACGATCGAAACGATCGTAGAGAGAAAGGAGAAGGCGGGGAAGGAGAAGGAGGAGGAGGAGGAGGAGGAGAAAGAAGAGGAGGAGGAGGAAGAAGAAGAAGAAGAAGAAGAAGCTTCCATCCAGGAGTTTCTGCCGATTACACAAAGCGAATCCCTTAAAGAGAACGAAGACAGTGGCGGATACGCTACGCTAGCGAGTGAGTATACATCCAAGAGCCTTGACTCTGCCCTCTTCTCTTTCTTCGTCGCTTTGCTCCTGCCCTCTCTCTCTCTCTC